GCCATACCCAAATTTGTGACGCCAGAACAGACTTCCAGTATTTGTCTGGCCTCCTGGTGAGTCAAGTCTGAAAGACACAGATGACGGACCGCTTTGGCGAAGAAATCAGCCGGTTTGGACTTGATTGCATTCATAATTCTGTCCTTATTGTAGATTTCAACTCGGACGATTCTGTACAACAAGGGCTCGATCCTAAACCACAGAATGAGTTCCACTAAGAAAAATGTGAGGGTGCGAAAAGGACCAGATAAGGACCCGGCGAGCGACACGCAGAAGAGTGGGGGTTTCTCCGGGATACATCAGCGCAGTTGTCTCGAATATACTGTACTATTAAATTCAATTCGTCAGTCACGCGTCACGGGGGTGCTTGACGTGACGAATTTTGGAACCTTGTCACGCGTCACGGAGGCTCTTGACGAATATACTTTTCGTCACGGTCAGTTCAAAATTTCGGTTCAGGGCTGCTCTGAGCAAGTTTCCTTAGCTGCAGACACTCTCCCTACAATTTTCTCACCATTCTCAAGGTTTCTTGTTTCAAACCTCACAAACATCGTGCTTCAGACCAAATTCAACCGAAGTTCACAGTGAAAAATGGATTTTTTCCTGTTCAACAACAGATTTGCTCAAATAAAATTCTCAGATGATTCCTAAGTCATCATAACGGGTATTCTACATGGTCATGGAACATTTCCGGGGCTTGACGAAATTTTGGGGGTTGTCACGCTGCTGGCGACCCTTTGACGAATTGACGAAATGATATTTCGGGTCACGCGTCACACCCCTTGACGAATTGAATTTAATAGTACAGTAGCTCGTTCCAATTCAAGCGGGAAAGCGGAGTTGGGATCCATAGATTCGAGCGTCATGGTGGTCAAGAGCAAGACGTGTCTGCACAGCTTTGTCATTTGTCACGGACGGACAAATGCCGATCACGTGCCGACTTAGACTTGTTACCAGTCTGCCATGATGGTAAATTGCTTGCACTAAGATTTGCCGTCATTGCAAACTGGTAACGAGTCTAGTGCCGACTTGGCCAAGACCGAAAAAGAAAAACGCGGATTCCTGGAATATGTCCCTGGGGCGGTTCGAACGTCCGGCTCTCCACTAAACTTTGGACACCTTGATCTAAATGGAGCGATCTTCATTGACCCACAAGAACTAGTACCGGTGCCCACCATATTTTTTTCTTGACTGTGTGTGCGCTACTTGGGCGGGCCACACAGACTCAAATTTCACGGCAGGATATCATCCACCTTCGTTCCCCTGGATTATTTGTTTGTTTCCAAGCGTTGCGTTGGGATTCGCATGATATCAAGCCGCCAGGAGTCAGGACAAGCACTAACAAGAGGGCTCAAACAAGAAGAGTGTCCCTGGGGCGAGTCGAACATCCGTCTCTCCATTAATTCCCCACGGAAGCCCATTCATCGGGCTGGACGTGAGTTACTGGGAAGTGCTGGGAGTAGCTTGTCATGGGTCATGGAATACACTCAAGAGAAATATCCCGAATTTCCTCGTTGGCATGTGGTTCATTGGGCTGGATGTGAGTTACCGTAATCCACAGGAACATCCTGGTGTGGCTTGTCATCGGTCATAGAATACATCCAAGGGAAATATCTCGAATTTCCTCGTTGGCATGTGGTGGACGTTGCAGATATCAATAACGTGGTGCAAAGGAAAGGACGCGCCGGCGGTGTGCAGCACTTAAAAGATACACGTACTTATATGACCCTGCGTGCGCCGGTATAAAAATGCGGAGAAATACGTTGCATGTCCCTGGGGCGATTCGAACACCATCTCTCCGGTAATTCGTTATACGCCGACTGGCTCATCGGGCGGGAGCGATCTGCCTTGATCCACAGGGACGTTCTCAGTCACGGTGGGTGCCTGAATATACACCGAGCCCAAATTGCGTTGTTCGACGCAGTGGGTGCGGCGGATTATGGCTGCCTCGGGATGGAAGAAATTCTGGTGAGCAAGAGGCTCGACGTAAATGAAGCGACACATTGAGCCATACAAACATACTCATACACAGGCCAAAAAAAAAAAAGAGAAAAAGGCAGAGCGCGAGTGCTACCTGCATATGTCCAGGGGAAGTTCGAACGCCCGTCTCTTCGTGGCCATTATTTCGCCCGTCCGGCGTCAAGTCCTTGCTTCAGTTGGCTGGAGTGATCTGGGACTGGTACTCTGCATGGTTGACCCTGATCATGTGGGTACGTTCGTTGACCGCGTACTTTCGATGGGCGCCCACCTTAAGAGAGAGAAAAATAACACGCGAACGAAAGTATTGTATCCAAAGGCGATTCGATTTGAACACCAGCATTCATAGCTTAGCTAGGAATTCATGCCGTCCAGTACGACCAATCGTCGGTGCGGGGGTCCCTGAATAATAATATGTGTCTTCCTACTGCAGACAAAGTGTTACAAAGAAACACGCGTCGGAAATGCAAGGAGGAATAACTCACCGGATGCCGCCAGTTTGCCGGGAGGGAGGCTCTGAACTCGAAGGAGCCATCCTGGAATTGCGAGACGTCGAGGATATTTTAGGCGGTAGAACGAACGCCGCGTGCCATATGCTGGAGCGGGCGCTTTCAAGAATACATTTCGCGGAGCCCAAGGAGATTATTATGGTTTTTGAATCCCATCGCCGGGCTCAGATGCGTAGAGCAGTAGAATTGAGCATGTTGATACTAGGAATTTTCTCAAGGAAGAAGGGCAGTTCTCTGCAACGTCATCGAGAAACAATCGTAACAGCAGTGAATCACTCCACAACGAGAGACAACGAGGGTATCGTTCGAGAGCCACACACAGTTCATGGGCCTGGTGCAAGGATTCCTGGCCATCCGTCAAAATCCGGGGATAATTGGCCGGGAATCGGGGAGGCTGGATCGGAGAGCAGGTTCGGACTGGGACTGGATTTAGGCTGGAGTGGCAAGAGCAGAAAGAGATCTGCAGCACCGCCACATCAATGCACAGCCATCGGCTGGTTTCAAAGGGTTGACAAATCGCGCTGACGTCCCCGCCCCTTGTTTTCTCCCGCCTCTCCCAGCCGAATCCTCATCATCCGTTCGCCCATACAACCAGCCGACTCGAAATTATACCCAACGGGATCGATTTTGAGGGGGGAGTCGAGGCTGTGGGATGATTTGGTTTTCGTATGTCCTTCAATATGATATAAAATTTGTGTAATGTTTTTTTCGGTGGGGCAGGACGAGTCCCCGACGGAACCCACGGGAGGAATGACGAGAAGGGTGGGAGTGGGACTCGGTTAATCGTCGGCTAACGACCAACAGTGGGACTCAAGACTCGGCTAACCGTCGTTAGTGAGACTCGAGCTTGATCAGTGGCAGTCGGCTGATCGGCACCTTCAAGATTTAAAGCTCCGCTGAGCACAAGCACCACGCAGTGGGCCCAGCGGCGAGCGCAGCAACGCGCAGCGGGCCAAGCGGCGAGTGCTAGGAGGGTCCACGGGGGTCTCCCCCGCGCTGGATAATTTTGAAGGCTCAGAATAAGCATTGACAGTTGAATACAAGCAGAGAAAAAATATTTTAGAGCTGCACGCAGTAGGCCCTAGCGGTGAGCGTCCTGGGGGGTCCGCGGGGGTCTTCCCCGCACCAGAGTGATTATTTACACTAGGATTCAACTTTAAAATGTCAAAACTTGGAAAAAGCTAGCGATAAATTTACTTTTTCGGCCGTCAGGTGAAAGGAGGGGGTCTGGGGGGAACATTGTTCCAGAAAAAAATATAGTTAAAACCCATGCCCAAATGCTCTGCAATGAAGAATATACTCAAAATCGGCTCTGACATGCTGGGAATGATGGACTGATGCGGACTGATGGCAGTCCCATCAACAGTGAGTCCCACTCCCACCCTTCTCGTATATACTCAGAGCCAAGAGCCGATCTGCAACACTGCCACATCAGTGCACAGCCATCAGATTGACAAATCGCGCTGACGTCACTGCTCCTTGTCTTTCCCGCCATGTCCACTGCAATTCCCTCCAAATCCCTGACCCTTCGCGCATACGACCAGCCGACTCGAGATTATACCCAGCGGGAATGGTATCGATATGGAGGAGGAGTCAATCGCGTGGCTGTGGGATGGTTTACGTCCTTCACGCATCATACTCGCCCGTTGCGCAGCGCCAGCGGGTGTGTTCAGCAACGATATCGATACCTGCCTTTTGCGACATGCCGACAATCGTGGCACGGGCGCGGTTTTTGTGGGAGGTGCAGACCAGCGGGTGGACGAGTGCGAGGACGCCTCGGGCTTCAGCTTGGGGGTGCGTAATGAAGACCAAGGAGGGCACAGCGCCTTTGTGGCAATCGAACTGCAGTTTCGGCTTCTCTCTCTCTCACACATCACAGCTGGCTCTGATCATCTGCACCTCGTTATGTTGCTTCCCCTCATATCCTGTTCCCTCGACGCATCAGCCCACCGCCCCCAAAGGCCTCCATTGCGCGGTACCGCGCGGCTGAGAACGTCCCTGTGGATCATCTTCAAGCTCTTGGCAGATCGCTCCCGCCCAATTCCAATTGGCTAATCCTGGGATAACGAATTACTGACCATGGAGAGAGGGCATTCGAGCCCCAGGGACATTATGTGGTTTTTTTTGGGTGGCCTGAACGGTGAATAAATAATAATATTGTTTCTCCTGTGCGCCTGATATTTCTTCAGAGTTCAGCAACCCTCATCAATACCAACGCTGACCCTATGATCGCGGGCAACCGCGCGCCAGGATAGTCTTCGTCTTGGCATTAGCCCTAGACCAGTACTGGGATGGTTCGTATCCGAAGACCCACCATGGTTGATAAGTCCCTGTGGATCAAGGCAGATCGCTCCCGCTCCATGGGTTCATCGCTTGCGAATTACTGGAGAGAAGGGCGTTCGAATCGCTCCGGGGACACTGGACTCTATTCTTACAACTTTTTCTTTCTTCCTCCTTTTTAAAAATATTCGTTTAGGCACAAGGCATATTCAGGGTGCAACCTGAGCAATACAAGTCCCCGTGGATCAATGCAGCTCGCTCCACTTAATTGTAATTGTCGATGGCTAATTAATGGAGAGACGGGCGTTCGAGTCGCCCCGGGGACATTTGAGATTGGCATCTGGTTTTTTTTTTGTCAGTCTCAACGGCGAATAAATATGGTACGGATCACCAGATATCCTTACACCAGGTTCATGGACTGCAGCTCGAACCAAGCTCCAACGCTACGCGATTCGCTGCTGTGACCATGGGATCTCGCCGACAATGCATCGAACTATCCTTTTTTTCCTCGAGAGGAAATTCCTAGTATCAACTTCACGCTTAATCTTATCGCTCTACGCATCTGGATCCGGCGCTGGGATTCAAAGACCTCACTGGGCTCCGCTGAATTGTCCTCGAAAGCGCTCACTCCAGGGTATGGCACGTCTCAGGTTCAGGCGTTCGTGCTGCCGCTCAAAATATTTTTGCTCGCGTTTTTATTTCTCTCTTTCTCTCTCTCCCATGAGCATACCAGTCCCTGTGGATCAAGGAAGTTCGCTCCACCCAACTGAAGCAGGACCTATCAATTAATGGAGAGTCGGGCGTTCGAGTCGCTCCGGGGACACTAGGTTCGAGTCTTGCTACTTTTTCTTTTCCCTTGATTCCTCCCTTGATTCCTGGATTCCTTCCTCCTTTAAAAGAATTTTTGTTTAGACACATTCAGGGATCAACCTGTACAGTACAAGTCCCTCTGGATCAACGCAGATCGCTCCACTCAACTGAAATACATGCAGTTGACGGGTCAATTAACGGGGAGCCATCCAATGTACCAGTCCCTGTGGATCAAAGGAGATCACTCCATCGCAAATAGACTTTAAGAAAATCATTGGAGAGATGGGCGTTCGAATCGCTCCGGGGACACTAGGTTCGACTCTTCGAGTCTTTCAAATTTTTCTTTTTCCTTGAGTCCTTCCTTCTCTCTCTTATGCACATTTGGGACCAACCTGTGCAATACAAGTCCCTCTGGATCAACGCAGGTCGCTCCATCCATTAATGGACCTTCATTTGCAGAGACGGCGTTCGAACCGCCCGGGACGTGATCAAAATCATGGTCTCTTTTTTTTTTTCTTTTTTTTTTTTTTTTGCTTTGGGTTTTGGCCCGCGTATGCGTGTAATGTGTGTCATTCACCCACCCCACCCCCCGTCTTCATCTCCATTTCAAGTCTCTTGCTTACCTCAGAATTTCTTCCATCCCGAGGCAGCCATAATCCGCCCCACCCACTGCTCTCGAACAACGCAATTTGGGCTCGGTGTATATTCAGGCACCCACCGTGACTGAGAACGTCCCTGTGGATCAAGGCAGATCGCTCCGGCCCGATACCTGAGTTACCGGCAGACGAATTACTGGAGAGATGGGCGTTCGAGTCGCCCCAGGGACATGCATCGTATTTCCCCGCATTTTGTATCGGCGCACGCAGGGTCGTATAAGTATCTTTTCAGCGCTGCAAACCGCTGGCACGTTCTTTCCTTTGCACCATATTATTATATTTGATATATCTCCAACGTCCACCACATATCAACGAGGAAATTCGGTGCATGACCTAGGACAAGCTACACCCCGGACGTTCCTGTGGATTATACTGTAGTAAATCACATCCAGCCTGATAAATGGGCTTCTGTGGAGAACTAATGGGTGGTATCCGGCGGTCAAATTTGGGTCTGTGGCCCACCCAAGCAGCGCACACAATCAGGAAGAAATAAGGAGGGCCAGTTCTTGTGGATCAACGCAGACCGCTCCATTAGAAAGAGGTTCTGTCCAAAATTCAGTGGAGAGTCGGACGTTCGAATCGTCCCAGGGACATGCTTGAGGAATCATGTAGGCCAAGCCACTCATAGACCATGATAGTAGACAATAAAATTTATGAACTGCCATAGTTCACATAGACCACACTATAGCTCACCATAGACCACTATAGTGCTCGGGGGTAATCTCATAGACACTCATAGCACCCGATAGGTCCCTATAGCTACCCTTTCATATATGGGGCAATTTTGGTTTTTCCTGATGTAGTGGTGCTCCTGGCTTGGCTTCCAGCCGCGAAGCCACGAAGCCCAAGCCACAGCTTGACAAGCCAAGCCAAGCCAAATCCAGGGCTTTGGGCAGGCTTGGGCTCAAGCCGCGGCTTGGAGGGGGCAAAATGACGGCAAATTCCGGTGTTAAAATGCGACAAACTTGTTGACGGACGGCATTATAGATCAGCGCAACAGTACCTGCTGTTCCATAAGTCGGCTCTTGTGGATGACACCAGGTGCGATGGTGAGGAGGATGCTGATGATGGTGGGAGGAGGGCGATGACAAAGAAAAAGGATGGGATGATTTGTTAGAAGAGGACCCTAATAATTGTGACCCAGACTACAATATGGACATCTAATTGCATTTTTTGCATTGGCAGTAATAGAGCGACAAAGAAAGTGTAGCAGATGCACTGGGGAAATTTACTGGCAAGCTGCGGCTTAAGCCAAAGCCAAGCCCTCATCGACAGCTTGGGCATGGGTTTGAGGAAAGTGAAGCCAAAGCCCGGGGCTTCCAAGCCCAAGCCAAACCATAACATCACTAATTGGAGAAAAACCTATGCAGTAAACTTTTTTTTTCACAGCAGTGCGACATCGGGAAGGTGGGATTAGCGGTTTTTTACAGTATGGGGGAAAGAATATTCCTGAGGGCTCAATAATCTGGTGCTTGAGTTAAGAATTTTATGGGAGGTGTATTTCGATATGAGGAATCAATCTGAGATGTTTCCCAGGTCCCTAGCCAACGGGCAGAAGATCATTTTGGATGTTCAAGATGGGTTGGTCTGGCTGTGGAAATGCAGGTAGGTTGATAAGGCATGGTTTTGAACACACCTAAATTCTTTGATTTTACAAAGTTACATTAGAGCAATCTAATTGAAGTAAGATACAGAGGGTACTAGTCTTGTCCCGAGACTGAGTATTAAACCTATGAAGCATTGAAAACTAGCTCTAAAACAATATTGAATGAAGGGATTCTATCAGTACTCTTAACAGAGTAACTAGTATTATTCTGGAGTTTAATCAGCTAGCTATAGGACTCACCTGACAAGCTGCAGGGAACCCATGTAGCAAGTTCGGTGTCAATATGGATGCCAGGTAACCAAGGGAGTTATTGAAGGAATCAGTTAAACTGCCATTGAAGTCTATTGAACCAAAGGTTGAACTATGTACGCACACTGGAACTGGAGAGCCCGGCCCTGAAGTGGTCATGTGCTCCAGCACGTCTTGGAGAAGGGAACAAACAAAGAACAACACACATGTAAATGGATGATTAAGAGGGTTAATGGCGCGATGCGCACTTAGTCTTCGCATAGGAAAATGACAATACAGTCTGTAGGAAGGTTTGTAAGGTTGATTGGTCTATTGTTGAGTACATGCCACTTAATAATGGGCTTGGTAGGGAGAACTGGCTTAGAAATAGTGCTTCAAAGCTGCTCGGATGGTTAAATCCCAAGATCTGAGCAGGCTGAATGCTCTGTTCTCTAAAGCTGGGCAGTAGGGATGTTCTATTCTATTTATCTGGGCACTTACAAATGTTCATTCTCTCTCCGCTAATTTATTATATTGTTTGTAACCTGCAGTAGCCAGTAACACTATAAAGTTCCTCCAAATGTACTAGATAGACAGTGAATTATCACCCCCCTTGTTGGCACAAAGCTCTTTTGAGTCTTTTAGCCTCACCAGCTATTTAGTTCAGCAAGACTTATCAGTCTTGTGGGTTCTATTACATTGCCACTACAACTTGGGGGTTGTTTAAATTAACTACGGTTATTCCAACGGTTTGACAACCATAAAGTCAATTACAACCACTTGTTCTTAAGGTTGAAGGGTTTCTAAATCCTACTTCCTCGAACACACACACACGCACATTATTGAGTAGTAGTCAGTGTTATATTTGGTGTTAAATTGAGCAGACATTGTCTTGCTCTTTTTGATATTAGATTTCACTGTTGCACGCAAGTGCACCGTTTCAAGGTGGCAAAAACTCCCTATCCTCGTGGCAATGTTTTCACGGTTCAAATGAAATGTGGGGACTCATATTTGGCACATTTGGGGGCGTGTAGGGCTGGGGTAGGTGTTCGGAATTTCAGAGGGATCGAATCAAGAAAGTGGGGCATGTAGGCAGGTTGCAACGAAGCCAAGTTTGGACCCCCACCTTACTTAGGCTCAAGTATTTCGAAAGTGTGCTTACAATAATGGCTGACTTACCACTGAATTTGAGGAAAGTGATCTCATGGTTCTCAATCCACATTTGCTCAAGCTTCTTCTGCATTAGAAATGAAAGGGAATATCCTTCTGATGAAATACAATGGGTTTCCAGAATCATATGCAAGCTCAGTCCAGTCATGTATCAATTACGTCTTCCAGTTTCTGAAGCACATAGTATCTACCTTCATATTTAGGTGAATCGAACTTTCCTGAGGAGCAGCACAATGGCGCGGTGATGGTACATCTTGGCGAGATGCAAAGTGGCTTGGTAAACAGATGCATTGTGCTCAATGAGCAGTTGCACAACATTAAGGTGGCCCCTCTCTGATGCGAGATCCAGTGCTGTCCTGCCATTGTTGATGGCTTGATTGATAGATACATTGTGCTCGATAAGCAGCCTTGCAATGTCAAGGTAACCCTTTGCTGATGCAAGATGCAGGGCAGTCCAGCCATCTTTGGTGGCTAGGTTAACAGATGCATTGTGCTCAATAAACAGCTGCACAAAGTCAAGGTGACCTTGCTCCAATGCAAGATGCAGCACAGTCCTGCCATCTTTGGTGGCTAGATCAACAGATGCATTGTGCTTGATGAGCAGCCTTGCAATGTCAAGGTGACCCTTTGCCGATGCAAGATGGAGTGCAGTCCAGCCATCTTCGGTGGCTAGGTCAACAGATGCATTGTGCTCAATAAGCAGCTGCACAGAGTCAAGATGACCCTTTGCTGATGCAAGATGCAGTGCAGTCCAGCCATCTTCGGTGGCTAGGTCAACAGATGCATTGTGCTCAATAAGCAGCTGCACAAAGTCAAGGTGACCCTGCTCCAATGCAAGATGCATTGCAGTCGAGCC